TCTTTTTCTTGTGGATAAGACTTGAATTTGAATTATGGAGGCCTACATTGGAGTCTAAAGGCCATAATTTGAGTAAATCTAAAACTAAATAGTAGATCTAGTGGCAGAATTGTAACTATGGGTGATCAAATCATTAAATGGTGTCAATATTTTAGCTATCTCGGGTCTATTATTCATAGTGATGGTAATATTGATGGGATGTTATTAGTTAAATTCAATTTGGCTGGTTGAAATGGAGGAATGCATCTGGTTTATTGTGTGATAGAAAAATACCGCTTAGACTTAAAGAAAAAATTTTAAAATGGTGGTGAGACCTGCAATGCTTTATGGCACAGAATGTTTGCCTTTAAAAGAGAAGTATGAAGCTAAGCTAAGTGCTGTTGAGAAGAGAATGCTTAGGTGGATGAGCAACTTGACACTTATTGACAAAATGCGAAAAAAATGTATCCGTGAAAGGTCTGGTGAGCTCCAGTGACAGATAAAATTAGAGAGAGCCGTCCTAGATGGCTTGGTCACATTAAACGTCGCCCATCTGATGATTTGGTTAGGAGTGTAAATGTTTTAGATTCAATTTATGTCAAGAATGGCAGAGGTAGACCTCAAAAGACTTGGGCATATTGTATCAAAAATGATTTTTAATTATTAGAATTTAATGAAATTATGACACTCATTAGGACAAAATTGAGAAAATGATTCATGTAGCCAAGCCCACTTAGTGGGATAAAGGCTTGTTGTTGTTGCAAGCGATATTTTTAACATGAAGCACTAATATGCAATTGTTTACGTAGATATTTTGATTTTGTTTTATTTAGTCTTAGCTATTTGAATCATTTTGATGATCTGGACAAGTTGGTAGAGATTGATTGTCATTACGATGCTTTGTTAAAAAAATTGCATAAGAAAAATTTTGGTGCTTCATTTAGCTATATGCTTCAGCTGATAACATTGGTATGAATGCTTACCTTCTTTAGATCAACCTAAAGCTCACTTTCTTTCTATCGATACATGAATATATAGTTGGAATCTAATATGATACTCTGTTTTTTTTAGTTAATATTTTTGCTTACCACAGAAATGCCCAAAATTGTCAATTTACCTTTGTTCTCTTTATTAACTTTTTTTTGCTTTTCTAGCTTTTGTTTCTATTCACGTCAACATTCCTTATTTTGGCTGACCTATCCTTAGAATTTTGACCTGGCATGGATTCATATTAAGATGAGTTGCTCATTATCAATGCATTGTAGGAATCCAAATTTTTTTATTTGCACCGACTATTTCATTCATAGCATAAAGATTTGAACTAGGCAATAAATTTTTGCATTCTTAATCAGCTTTTAACCTTTTAATCAACCTTTTAATCAATGAGTTATCACTTCTTTTAGCTAGCTTTAGTTTAGTAACTTCAGCATTCTCTTTTTAATTGTGACCTGACATAGATTCAAATTTCTTTGAGGTGCCTATTTTTATCCACATTTGATCCATCAAATTTCTTTGAGGTGCCTATTTGTTGTATCCACATTTGACATGCCTTTTAATGTCTCCAAATTCTATCACCAAATTTATAAACATTGCCTTCCTTGCTTTCCCAGTTCGAATGCGAGCAATTCATTCTGTAAAACTTTTGACCGATAGATTAGTAAATAATTTGATTTATTATTATTTACTTTATAGCGTGATTGCATGTGATATATTGATGACAAATTAAGAAAATCAAAATGCTGAGAAGTTTCGTCTAACTGTTTTATAGTTTGATACTTCAACATTAAATCTCATCTTCTCAAGCAAGTTATTAACAAAAATGTTTTTTTTTTCTTGGATTAACCTTTCCAATTAAAAAAAATACAGTTTCTATAAAAGACTAATATGTAAATTCATGTGATAACTAAAGAAGTACAAACAAATGTTGATTATATAGAAGCTTGAATAGAGGACATGAATCTTTGGAATATGATAAGATGAAAGTATGCTGAGAATATCATTGCTTGGATAGATAACGCGGAACTAAAGATGCAGTATATGTATGTACTGATTGGAATCAAACTTTTTTACTAGTTATGGTATTTACCAGAAATAATTCAAGGTCTTTATGAGCTTTCCAATGAATTCACTCATTATATTATGCAAATGTTGATGCAAGATGATGATGAACTACTAATGAAATTTGATGCAAAGGCAATAACTACGAAAAAGGGGCATTTACATGCATACCACGCAATTCTCATGTATGTACATATCTAACAACTAAACTTTCATATCTACATTTATAACACTCAAAATTTTAAAATCACATCAAAATAACACCATTATTAACTTTTTAAAAGTGAAATACATCTTTTTATGCATAGGTTTATGACACCAAAGTGTTATATGTGTAAGTATCAAACTTCAAGTGTTAGATATGTAAATACGTAAGAGTTGTCTGGTATGTATGTAAATTTCCCCCAAAAAAAAAAGATTCTTATTGAAGTTGTTGTGCGATTAGTACCCAATGGTTTTGGTGAAATTACACGATACTTAGTAGGACACAAAAATCAGTTGACATTTGGTAAGTTTGTAGGAAGTTCACCTGAGTAATAGAATCTAATTAAGATTTCTTTTGTTTGCAGAAACGTCACACAAGTAATTGGATTTTAAAGACTTCGAATGCATTATAAATTGTCCTGTGATTGAAAATATTTGAGGATTAATTCTAAATAAGGTGTTACTTTAAATTGATATAGGTATGCCTTACAAGCCTGAAGACGGAAATTTCGGGTTGAGGATGACTAAAAAGAGATGGAGAGGCACTTCAATCAACATTACCAAAATTATTTATTAATGATGAAAAAATAGAATTCAAACTATATAAAAGAGGTGCAGTAGATTTACATAAAATATAATAAATTCTAGATTCACCAAGTACTTTGTATTGCAGCATAATTCGGTGACTTTAATAAATAGGCTACATAAAGAATGAAACATAACGAATAAGTAAAATTAAACCGTCATAATGTTAAAAAAATCAGCTAATTTTTTTTTAGTAAGCATAGCAAGAGTAGAGTTTACATCGAAATTTCATTTACTTATTAACATTGCTTTTAACTGTTTCTTTAAAACAGCTTGAAACATACGTATTACTTTATTGTTCATGTCTACGACCATTAGTTTAGTATTTTTGTCCAGTGTATAATGATCTAGGGTGTACCATGGATGTTCATACAATCAGTACTGATGTGCAACTTCCTTAAGACTCCTTAGGATATTGTGGCACTAAATGTTGAGTAGTTTATTGCATATGATATTGACATTATGATGAAACTTGAGATGCCATTAACAATTAAATGGGTTAAAAAGGAGATGTTGACATTGAACCTGGCGTCATCCAAAATGACAGCGTACAAACATAAGGTGTAACAATCATTTGGATTGTGCTGAATATCCCTTTTCATAAACATTCTAGTTTATGTCTAATGGTAGCCAAGGATGGTATGTTGTGGTGTTTGAACCTATTGCGATTCTTGTCAGTAATTCATCTGGAATGGAAAATTTTGGATCTGCATATAAAGGTGATCAGGAATCTGACACCATGGATGTCCTTGGATCTTTGAACCTTGGCGTCTTTGATTAAATATTGCTGATGCACTAAAAATGCCTTTCCTAGTATCCTCAAAGGTGCTATAGTCTGTGTAATGTCTGTTGAAAACTATCACACAATGCTTTCATCTAGTTCACTTCAAACTACAAGGAACTTGCATGTTCTTTAAGTATGCCAGAGTATGGGTGTGAAATCACCTCGTATTGGATAAATAGTTTCTTTGCAATCTAGTTGATTGTTACATTATTATTGAATAATATGGAAAATGGAATTTCATAATACTTCCCGGCACTCTCTTCATTAGAGCCAACAGTTGACCTATGCAGTAAAAAGATGATATAATCGACTGTAATGGAAATGACAAATGTAGCTATACATGTATGTCTTAATGCATCTAAAATTTAATGCTTTGTGCTGCTACTTCTTTTTCATCAAGAGACGTGAGATATGAAATAGCTTCTATAATAATTGTGTTTACATGTTGAGTTTGTTAGCTTAATGAAAGATAATTATTTCCTAATATATTAATATTTTATCATTTATGGACTTGCAACTGAGTGTCTTTCATGTAAAGTGACTATATATGCTTGGACATCTGCTGAAACTAGACCAACACTATCCTCAGATGTCTTGTATCCTTATGAGAACTTTGCCTATGACTTATTCTGCCATCTTGTTTGTGCATAAATAATCTATTTATTAATATCAAGGTCGAACTTGAGTTTAATATATGCTTAATGAATCTTTTGGTATTTATTATTGTTTGGGTTATTCGGACGAGTTGACCTATTATTAAAAATGCTACAAATTCCGGTGCTATTTTCTCTTGGTTATGTTCATCTTGTTTTTTAATCATTAAGAGCATGGCCTGTGGGACCCTTCTTCTAAAAGTTGATGCAAGCAATTAAAATATGGCTCTTTCGAGGCCATAGTTGGGCTATGATTAAAGTTCTCGAATAACCTTACATGTCCACTCCATAAGCCCAGAATTAATGCCTGTTATGGCAACTATCAAGCTATTGTGAAATTTGTTCAGAACATAAGAGTCTAAGTTGTCTAATATGAGCCGCTATCAAGATACTATCATACTGATATTTACTGTGAAGTTTGTTAAAGGTAAATGATTTTCATTTGCTATTTGGACGCATGATTGAAAAGTAAATAAAAAGAAATTGCGTGAAGAAAAATGTCTCTTTTCACAAAATGATAGTAGTCTATATATATTGAAATAATTTACGAACTGCTGTAGTTCCTATGATTTTTTTTGAAGGTTGAATGCCATTTGCAAAGTTATACCTCCGTGGAAGTTCCTGTTTTTTACCATATAATAATGCAAAAATGGTACTGTGCATGCTAGTTCATGGCATGTGAGTTATCTGGGGATACAGGCTTATTATGTTATTGATACATTTTATACCCTTTGCAGTATATCTTCATCGGACCTGGTTTCAAAGTGGATGGGTGAAAGTGAGAAGCTAGTTTCAAATCTTTTTCAAATGGCTCGTGAAAATGCTCCTTCCATCATCTTCATTGATGAGATTGACTCATTGGCTGGTCAGCGTGGAGAAGGCAATGAAAGTGAAGCTTCTCGAAGGATAAAAACAGAACTACTTGTGCAAATGCAGGTATGGTTGGAACTTGGAATAATTAATCGCTTAATCGCGCTTGTTACTTTTCATCGTAAAGGTAATGTTAATTATCTTACACAGCTTCTTTTTTATTTACTTGCTCTTACTATTTGTCCATTATAGCAAATTGTCTTCATACATGTTCTTTTTCAGTAATGAAGCCCAAAAACAATTTTTTTCCGTCTTTGCTGAAGCCCAAAAACAATTTATTTTCTGTCTTATGATTGCTATTACTAATGCAAAGTTTATGCTCATTTTGTGCCTTGAGTTGACTTTTTACAAGGGAACTTATGGGTAAAACTGCAGCTCCTTTCTCCACCATTCTTTTTCTCCATTTCCATTTTATGATGCTTGTCTCCTTTCATCTGTCCTTTTGAGGTGAGTTTGTTCAATTGTTTATATGTTGGGCAGTTGGTGTAACAAGCATCCAGCACAACACTACTTGCCTGCTCAAAGCCAGTATAGCTACAAGTAATTGTTCTTGCTAGTCTATGGACACATCATGCTCATCATAAGAAGATCAAGAAAATGAACTTGTTTAGCTTAGTCATCCTTGCATAAATTTAAGTGGGTGAAATCACCAAATTAACGGTGTTCTTGGTACATTAGACTTTTATCAATGTATGCTTTGGGGAGGATCTGATTTACTCACGTTTCTTGGAGCATTGTTCATGTTTTTGCTTCCTTACATGTGATTTCAATACAATTTAACTGTTGCTTTAAGCCTCCCTGCCTAGAAAATTGTAAATTTAATTTTCTGATGTTATTTCAGTAGAGACAATCTAACTGTTGCTTTAAACTTCCCCTCTTATTAAACTTGTAAATTTAATTTTCTGATGGAATCGATGATGTAATACAAGGCATTGCTTCAATCCACAATCATCAGTCAATGTGTTGATTAGTATAGTTTATTTAGCCTTCTGTTCATCTCTTTTATCAGTCTTTTAGACACATAATTATGTCACTTTTTATGCAATGTTTATGTCGTTATCCTTATTTTATTTTGTTATTTGTCAATGTTTAGGTGATAATTTACCATATGGACTACCTTATCATTATCTTATTTGTTATATGGCTAGAATGTCCATAAATTTATGGCCACTGGTATTTATATTAGGCCTTAAACTCTAATTGAGATTGTTGATTGTGGAGTAAGAAATGAATTTGAAGTAATATTCTTCTTGTTGATCATTCTCCCCTAGTTTTGAGGCACTTCTGTATCTCTTTACTCCTTGCCTGTCTCTCGGGCCTTCACTCATCTGATCCTCTGTCTACTCCTCTTGACTTCCTTTGGTTCTCATCTACATCAGATCCCAATTAACAAATTGAAGTTAAAAGTTCAGCACTGTCCTTAACTTTCATTGACCCAAACCCAATTTGTTTCAATAGTTATATAATTTTGTGAATGCCAACTATCTTTGAATTATTGAATCTCTTGTAATACTCTCTGTGCACTGAATTGACTCTATAGAAATTATAAAACACTTGGAACCCCAAGGGATTGTTTCATATACCACAATCGATATTTCTGACGTGAGAAATATTAGACCAATTTTAGAATAATGTATTGGGTGTTTTGTCTGGTTTGATATGTTAAAATTAGCAGTTGGTTTTATTTCAGATTTTATGTATCTTTGATATGGAAGAAACTTTAAGGGCGTCTATTGCTTACATTGTAATACAGTAACTTTTCTTGCTATGTTATTTTAGTATTGTGCTCATATTTCTGTAATTATGAATGCATTTGTTATTTGTTTGGTTTTTTTGTCATCTAGTTTTGCGGTATATTTTAAATAGAATAATCCAGATTTATGGAAATGAATATATCCGTGATAGGATTGGTGTAGCTCCTGTGACGGACAAAATTAGAGAAAGTCTTCTTTGATGGTTTGGTCACATTAAGCATCGACCATCTGATGATCCGATCAGGAGAGTAGATGTTTTAGATTCAACTTATGTTAAGAAAAGCAGAGTTAGACCTAGGAAGACTTGGGCTCATTGTATAAAAAATGATCTTAATTTATTAGAACTACATGAAAATATGTCTTTAATTAGGACGCAATGGAGAAAAAAGATTCATGTAGCCGACCCCACGTAGTGGGATTAAGGCTTTAGTGGGATTAAGGCTTTGTTGTTGTTTTTGTTTTTGTAATCCAGATTTATGGAAACGTTGTTTTTCTTTTATTGATGCCATAGGCATGCGCTTAAGTATGACCCTGTCATGCTCCTTAGTAATGTCTAATAGTTGTTTTTCTCCTTTATTGTGAAGTACTTGCAACATTTCAAACATTGTTTAAGGCTTCATAACCATGATACTCTTTTTAACTCAATTAGGTACACAAGCCTTAACCAAATGTTCTAGATTTTTGTTAAATTTGGTTAGTATAAATCTCTCCCTTTTCATGCTCACTACAATATTCTCTCTTTTCTTCTTTCGTCTGATTTGATAATTGAAGCGCTTGATCTCCAGCTCTTTTATTTTTATTAAAAATACCAAATATGTATTTTGATTGCAAAATTAGGATTATTATTGTTCATTTATTTCAATTTTTAGGAAGTGATAATATTTCATCCACATCAAAATAGAAATTCGATAATGTGATACAAGCCTTAATAGCACAAATTTCTGCCAGCATTCTCCTTTGATGAGCTCCAATTTTACTGGTTTGGTTCTTGTCAGTTTAATCTGTTTTTTAATTTGTCTGGTCTCTTGTTCGAAGTTTTCTCAACCATTTGAAGAAGATTAGTTTATGATACCTGAATATTGCTTGTGCATGCTATTGAGCTTGTGCATGCTATTGAGTGAGGTGAATGTTGAAGCATAATGAGTGTTGTATTTGTTTTTCAATGCTCTTAAGCGTGGCTGATAAACAAGCTTAATGCTATTGAGGTGAATGTTGAAGCATAGTGAGCGTTGTATTTGTTGTTTAATCCTTTTAAGCGTGGCTGATAAACTGGCTTAATGCTACTTTAATATGTTATTTAGCTAACCTTTCATTATGCTATTGAGCTAAGCTTGAAAAAGATACCAAAAGTGTATAATAAAAAGAGTCAAAGGCATGCTTTCTTGTGTTAGGGTTGTTTTTACTCAAGTTTATCTCAACAGAAATGAAATAGAAGGGGGGGTTTGATGAATGCTAAAATTTGGAAGGATGTAGTAGCATCCCACATTAATTTACATTTGAAATAGTAGAAATTGAAGCTATGCATATTTCTTGTAAAATAACCTATATTAAGTGGCATTAGGCATTGACTATGCTTTTTTAAAACGTTTTGACCTTGTCTGGGAAATGTCTTTACCTTTTTTTATTTCGTGTGTTTGTGTGTTGTTGGAGAATACTCTTCCTTAGCTATGAATCACTGATTTATTTTTATATTAGGCAGTCGAAATTAATAAAAAACTGAAGAGACTTTTCTAGAAATACCAATCCATCCTACAATGCCATTGTCTTTTTCATTTTTTTCTTGGAGAATCTTCTTCCTTAATTACCTATATCACTGCTTTGGCCGCACATATTTTAATATTTCAGTTCCCCAGTTTAACTTCATCCTTTTCTCTGTATCACCAAGCCTAAAAGAGCTCATCTTCTTCCTTTAGGACCATTGTTAAGTGCTTGATGGTGTCCATGACTTGATTCTGGGTTGATGAGTGTCAGTGATCCATTGTTCATCTTAAGGTTCTCTTGATTTTGTTGTGGCTTTTATATATTCATGCACATGTAAAAGCTCGCGCACTTCAACAAGTTGCTTTTATTCAAAGCATCTGGCTTGCATCCTCTTCCACATTTTTTTATCATATTTGATTTTTTTTTTTTTTGCTCCTTTCTTAGCTCCTTCGTTGCTGTCTCTATTACTGGATGATCTTCTAGCTCTCTTTGCTTCTGTTTCCTTTTCTACCAGGCAAACGTATGGCTACCAGAAATGGTTCAGTGGATGCTCTAACCGAAATATAACCCAATGGGTTGGACTATTATTATTGAACTTACAATATAAACTTGCAGTGTGTCAAAACTAGAATTTATCTGCACTAGATGCTCGATTCATTTGCATCTTTCTGAAAAACTTGCTCAAGTTTTTGTTTTTCATTTCAGGGTGTAGGTAATGATGACCAGAAAGTTCTCATCCTTGCTGCTACAAATACACCATATGCACTTGATCAGGTTCTGTGATGTTTTTGCCCATACTATTCAAAATCAATTAGCAGTTGCAGATTTGATTTGTTTTTTTCTCTTATATTTACCAATAAAAGGCTGTTCGGCGTCGTTTTGACAAGCGGATCTACATTCCTCTTCCTGATATGAAGGCTAGGCAGCATATGTTTAAGGTATTGCTGCAATATCTGATTCTTTTTTATGATCGAATTTGTTCCCCTTTTGCAAATGTTTACCTCTTTACCGTCCAAGACTATTTTGTGAGAACATTGCTCATCAGCTTGACATGCTTGTTCCTTCTACTTATCCTATTGATATTTTTAGCTTTAATTTTTATATTTATTTCTTTTCTGTAAAAATAAATTTGTGAATGTACCCATAACTTATGATACTGTTGCCACTATAATTTGTTATGCTGCTTTTATTTCATTGACTAAGTAAATTTTTTCTTATTTATACAGGTACATTTAGGAGACACCCCTCACAGTTTGACTGAAAGTGATTTTGAGAGCTTGGCTCGCAAGACAGAAGGTTTTTCTGGCTCAGATGTAGCTGTTTGTGTATGATTTGCTCTCAGATGTTATTGGACGCATTTATATTCAGTGAGATTGTCCGTTGATTGTTATTAAGACAATTTTTTGCCATATGACAGGTCAAGGATGTTCTATTTGAACCTGTCCGAAAAACCCAGGATGCAATGTTCTTTATTAAGACTGCTGATGGATTGTGGATCCCATGTGGACCTAAAACACCTCGAGCTGTGCAGACCACAATGCAGGAGCTTGCTGCGGAAGGACTTGCTGCAAAGGTAGGCGTAAAATGGGGGCTGCGTAACAACAACAACAACAAACATGAAGCATTTTTTTATGAAGTATTTTTTTACATGACGTCCTATTTAGTGTCATATTTTCATTTAATTCTACTAAATTAAGATCATTTTTTATACAATATGCCCAAATCATCCTAGGTCTACATCTGCCTTTCTTAACATAAGTCGAATCTAAAACATGTACTCTTCTAATCGGATCATTAGATGGTCGATGTTTAATGTGACCAAACCATCTAAGATGGCTCTCTCTAATTTTGTTCGTCACTGGAGCTGCACCAACCCCATCACGAATATATTCATTTCACATTTTTTCTGTAAGTTTAAAGTCAATCATCCACCTAATCATTCTCATCTCGACAACACTTAACTTAGTTTTATTCTTCTCATTTAAAGGCCAACAGTCAACGCCATAGAACATTGCAGGTCTCACCATCTTATAACATTTTCCTTTCAGTCTAAGAGGTGTACTTTTCTATCACACAATAGGCCTGAAGCATTCCAGGCCTGAAGCATTCCTCCATCCTCCACTTTAACCAACCAACCTAAATTCTACTAATAACATCCCCATCAATATCACCATCACTTTGAACAATAGACCCGAAATGTCTAAAGCGTTCACACCTAATAATTTGATTACCCATAATTTTATTTCTGTCGCTAGAGCTACTACAACTAACATTACATTCCATATATTCAGTTTTAGCTCTACTCAAACGAAAGCCTTTAGACTCCAAGGTAGACCTCCATAATTCAAGTTTTTTTTTAGCTTTTTTTCTCGTCTTATCCACGAGAAGGATATCATCAGCAAAAAGCATACACCAAGATACATCCTCCTATAAGTGTCCAGTAAGACCATCCATAACTAAAGCAAAATGATATGTGCGCAAAGCCGGTCCCTGATGTAAACCAACAGAAATAGGAAAATATTTCAATCCTCCTGTATGAATACAAGTAACAGTTCTTGTATTCATATCTTTAATGAATAAAAATAAATAATGAAAAATAAAAGGACCTATTCATATCCCATTGTCTCAACTAATTGTGTAACTGAGCCGAGTGAGTGAGCTCAAGTTTTATTTGCCGAAGTTTTTAAGCAAATGAACCACCATTTTCTAGTTGTGTTTGGCGCATTAATTTGCTGAGTTGAACATTAAGTTCACAAACATAAAATTTACTTGAAAGTTTTATATTATAGAATATACATTTTGATTTAAATTATTGAATATAAACCGTCATGTTTGTGTTTGACTTGCTGAAAAAATAAGCTTAAAAATCAATCTAGCAAAAGTTAATCATCGAGCCAAGCAAAAACAATAATCTTTTTTGACAGCTGTAAATTTAGCTTCTGATTCTCTTTTGTTTTTTCAAATGTGCGTTCAGATTCTTCCACCACCTATTACAAGGACTGATTTTGACAAGGTGCTTGCCAGGCAGCGACCAACCGTCAGCAAAGCTGATCTCGAGTTGCATGAGAGATTTACGAAGGAGTTTGGAGAGGAAGGCTAATTCCTGGTGCTCATAGATTCTGTACGCCATGAGCAATCATTTAATTGTATATTGCGCCTTGATCTGATTGAGGGCTTAAAAAAAAATGAAAAAAGTTCCTTTTAAGAGCCTCTTTTCAGATTGAATATGCGAGTGAACCGTTTGCATGAGGCTCACTGGAAAACACTGACATAATTTCATAGCTTGCTTTTCAAGCCATATTCGTATCTGTATTTATCCGAGGTGATTGTGCAGCTTGAAATTTATGACTTAGAAAACATTTCATAAATTGATTGGTCTCGGTCCATCTTAAGTTGAATTATCACTATTCGTTCTGTCCCTAGGGCCTATTTGTCTTCTACTCGAATGCAGTTTCGTACGTCAGTCTTGTAGTGATTGTAGTGGTTGCCATTGCGCTATTAATGGGGTAGTCGTTTGCTTAGATGGGCGGTGTTACTCGAATATATTGTATATTAGTAAGTTCAAGATGCCTGGTTCAAACCCTTATCTTTTTCCGGAAAAAAAAGCCCTTAATTGTTTTTAGAAATTCTCTTCAATGGACACATTGATTTACAATATCGATTTTTTCTCGCATTTTCAGTCATTTTTTAAGAAAAATGTTACATGTGGACTCGAGATACATCTGGAGTTTAATGATGTGACCCCATGGCTCAAGTGGGCCTCACCGTTTTAAATACTGGCCAGTGTATTATGATGGGGCCCACTTGACATGTGGCGTCCCATCATTAGACTCTGGATGCAAGGCGGATGTAATGTTCTCTTCTTTTTGAAAGCTCTATTTTTTTTTAATTTTATAATGCTTTCATTAATGTAAAAATTATTTACTTCTGTTTTATAAAAGCTCAGTACATACGGAATAACGGAGATCTGGGAGGAAACTAACTTTCGTTTATTTTTATTTTGAAAGGTTTAAAATGAGGTGTCAAGCTAAGTATATTTTTGTGAGATCTAAATGGTGTTATTTTCTATAAATGTTAGTATCAATGTAAATTTTTTTTGTGGTTCATCTGGTCTTAAATTATTATTTGTGGAGTTTCTAACGAAGGATTTTATAAGATTTGTTTTCTTGATCTATCAAACGGCTAATTTTCTAGTTGGTTATTTTGCGATTATACATGCAAAATTCTCTTATAAAATCTGGCTGAACAGGACCAAATGATAGATCAGAGTAATGTTGGAATAATTAATTAGTATTTTTATTGTATTCATGTTGAAGCCGATGTAATTAATGTGAAATCTAATATGACCATTTTTTGCTTCATTGTGTAAAGAAAAACTAAGAATCTTGTTTGGTACACTCTTTTTAAGCTTGTTAGGGTAACTACATAAGTCAAGGGGTAAGCGTTGAATTCAAATTTATCTTTTGAGTGCCCAAGGGATAGAGCATGGAGACGAAGAGAGAAAATGGGAGACAAAAAGAGATTTGCCTTGTGGTGAATAAAGGTGGGTGTTCTTGGACTCTTTGATCTTTTTTATTTCGTTAAATCTTTGGTTTACAGAAGGGGAACAAGAGATAGTTCTCCCTATAGGGGGATTGAGAGAGAGGAGAGCCCAAAAAGAGATTCAACGGCACTTTTACATGCTACAGGTTCTTTTATTTATAGAAGAGAAAAAAAAAAGTAATGTTACAAAAGTGCCACTACTTTAAGGAGGGAAGTACAGAGTATTGTGGTCTTTTTCTCTTTTAGATATGCCATTCTGAAACTTTTCAGTCTACAGGGGGTTGTCGGATGTAGGTGGGTGGCTGAAGGTGCCAAGCTAAAATGGTTAGCCAGGTGGCTGTTGATCTCGATGAAAACATAGTTGTGTAAAATTTATAAAGCTAACTCCGCTTTACAACGGTGCCAAAAACTTGATGTGGTATTTTATGAATAATAATGTTAAGCACTTAATGTTAGGATTCTACGAAAGTATACGTATCCTTATCAAGTAATATAAGAATTTCTATTTAAGTCCCAAATATCGATCCCACGAGGAAGGTTTAAATTTGAAATGATATATTAATTAGGAAATTCACAGAAATAAAACGAAATTACTATCATAATTTTGGATGCTTTACATACTATAAGAACTAAATTATTAACTACTAGCAAAATTTAAATGCAAATTTTAAAACAGTAACTTCTAAACTATGTTTATGTGATGAAGTTTTCTAATATGAAAAATCATTTTTCCCACTACAAGAGTTTTTGGTGAAATGAGATGAAATAATTGGTTTAAATTTGTATTGTGCCAAATATGAGCAATTTTAATTATCTACCCTGATTCAGTGTTATAGAAAATTATTGGCTAATCTTAGGTTTAGTCCCTAAATCCGTGCCTAGGCTAGGAGGATATTGTCTCACACTTCAGAGCTCTCACTTCCCTTCCCCTGATGGCTAACTCTCGCTTTAGTTTATAAACACTAAGATCGAATTCGGGATTTTAGTCTGTCACCCTAAAATCTCCAATTCTATACCCAACAATGTATATTTCTCTATTTATTTGCACTTAATTTCATTAATGAAATACTCATTCATGGACTTAAATATGATTCTCACTATGTTGTAGAACTCATACTCCATTTCCCAGATCATATGTTTCATAACATATTTTAACGGTTCAATTAACCAGATCGAAAAGTAAATTAAAAGCGGAGTTGAAAAATCATCACAATTTATTTTATATTTTAACTTTGACACATTCAAATTATCTCTTCATTTCACTATATCTCAAAGTAAAGGAGAAAGATAAAGGAAACTACTCAGACTTCATGAGAAAGATACAACAAAACAAAAATTTCATATATAAAAGAAAGTTCATACAACAATAATAAGCAAACAACACTTATCCGAAACTCTTTTTCAAAGAAAATCCCTTATAGCCTCTCTTAGGAAATGTAGGAAGAAGAAATTTCTCACTTTTCTCCCTTTCCAAAACTCTTAGAGAAGAATTCACACTTAAACTCACCATAAAAACTCAAAACAATATAGAAAATAAATGACTAACGGTGTGGAATGACGTTGAAGGATACAAAGTGGCATAAAGGGAGCAAATAGATGCGAAGAAATACCAAGAGCGAGCGGAGGAGTGCGAAGAGAGTCTTTTTTTTTATCAATTTTGGCTCTAAATAGAGCCTAAGGTTGGTTTTCCAATAGGTGCATCCAAAAACTCTTCAAAAAACATCCAAATTCATCGAATCTTCTAGAAA